AAAAAAAAAAAAAAAAAAAGAAAGAAAGAAAGAAAGAAAGAAAGAAAGAAAGAAAGAAAGAAAGAAAAAGGAGAAAACAAAACAAAACAAAAACAAAACAGCGAACAAGCATAATAGACGAAGCGGCCATCAATCGATCGCCTCAGCGTCTAGCCGCACCACTCGCTAAACGCCAACATTCGACAGTATCTGGACAGCTTCCAGGTACAGATACATTCACCGAATGTTGGCCGATGGCGAGTATGTGCGCCGAGCCTTCAATCAAAATTTACGACGCCACCGAGCATTCAATCCAACCTTACGACGCCACCGAGAATTTTGACTGTATCTGGACAGCTTCCACGTTCAGATACATTCAAAATGTTGACGAGTGGCGAGTTTTGCGGCCGGGCTTTCCATTGACAGATTAACGAAGCTAAACGGAATTTTAAACGGATTCGATTCGAATTCGACCGATCGATTCATCGACTCTCCACCAAGTTGAACCTTTTCAATTTGCGCGCACATCCCCTTTTCTTTCCTTTTCTGGAACAGTCCCTTTTTTTTTTCTTTTTTTTTTTTTCTTTGCAAGTATACAGGGGAATTGCAACTCTCTTTTTTTTACACGCGCCGGAAACATCATCTCATTCAATTTTTTCTGTTTCGTGCACATTCTCGATTTTTTTTTTTTTTTTTTTTCGCATGTTCCTCTTTTTTTTTTTATATATATTTTTTTAATTTACACATTTCCTCCTCTTCAATTTCGTCGTCCTCTCTTCCGTCTCCATCGCAACAACAAAAGTCGGGCGAAAATTTCGCAGAACGCTAAAGAAAAAAATCCTCTTTTTTTTTCACAAAGATATCATTGCGTAATGGTCATATCTGAAGGCGGTCGCCAAAAAAAAAAAAAAAAAAAAAAAAAAAAAAAAAAAGCGATTGGGAGAGGAAAACGTGACTAGCAATGGCCCGAGACAATTCGGAGGGGAAAGAAAAAAAACAAAAAATCGTATAACTTCGTATAATGTATGCTATACGAAGTATTACGTATATATTTTTTTAATTTACACATTTCCTCCTCTTCAATTTCGTCGTCCTCTCTTCCGTCTCCATCCTGTCTCTTATACACATCTAGATGTGTATAAGAGACAGGGCGTAGACAGATGTCACAGGCTACATGGCTCCTACATGGTAGGACACAGACGCACGCCGACAGGACCGGTTCGGATGTGGACTGTGGAAGCACCNAAAAAAAAAAAAAAAAAAAAAAAGCGATTGGGAGAGGAAAACGTGACTAGCAATGGCCCGAGACAATTCGGAGGGGAAAGAAAAAAAACAAAAAAAAACACGATCGATAGCTCATCAATTCATTAGCAAATGCGATCGATTTTTTTAATTTTTTTTTTTTCGATCGATGATCGATGACAGCTCGTCAATCGGCTGGCTAACATCAATTACTTGGCCAAGGAGATGGACTTCTCTAAGGGTATTCTTTTTTCATTATTATTTTTTTTTTTTCGTCAATCGGCTGGCTGACATCAATTACTTGGCCAAGGAGATGGACTTCTCTACTCTACCACTACACAAGGGTATTCTTTTTTCATTTTTTTTTTTTTTTTTCACTCTCGTCCTTTCATAATTACTGAAAAAAAAAAAAAAAACTACTGAAAGTATATGGAGATTGGAAAGTAGACACACATGCCGCAAAGAATCTCGCATTCAATTTGGTGACCGAGCAACGTGGCTCAATTCCAGCCATTCATCGATCGACGCTCAAGATCCACCGATCCCGACCGACGAACTTTCGCACCTAGTCGTCGAGCCACGTCGCACGAAGCCACTCCTCGATCGACACTCCGCATCCAGTGACGACGTCCGAATTTTCGCACCTGGTCAAGACCCGTCTCTCTCTCTCTCTCTCTCTCTCTCTCTCTCTCTCTCTCTCTCTCTGTGTCTCTGTGTACGAAGCCATTCCGTGATCGAAGCTCAGGCATCCACTGATGACGTCCGAATTTTTTCGCACCTGATTCGAGACACGTGGCACAAAGCAGTTCCCGGTCCGGATCAACGCTCAGGAATCCACTGATGAGCGGCTACTGTAGTTCATCGACCGAACATACGGTACGGCGTCTTCGCACTGTTCGAGCCACGTGGGCTGGCTCAAAGCCACGTGGCCCTTCCTCGATCCATCGATCGACACTCGGCGCCCACTAGTTCCGGCGACGAACCTTCGCACATTGACGGTCAAGCAAGCCCACGTGTCGCACCACGAAGACGGTCATCGATCGATCGATCGATCGACGCTCAGCCGACGAACCTCTTCGTGCCTGCTCGAGCCACGTGGCTCGAAGCCACCCATTCTCCATTCTTCCTTCGATCGATATAGATCGATCGATCGATCGATCGATCAACACTCACCTTTCAATACTGAAGTAATATTCCGACGACGAACCTTTGCACCTGGTCAAGCAAGCCACGTGTCGCGCGCGAAGACGTTCATTCCTTCATCGATCGACCGACGCTCGGCATCCACTTTTTTACGACACAACCATCGCCACGTGGTCTCGAATCCAGCCCCATTCCTTGATCCCCCGATCGATCCACACTCAGCGCGCCGTCATGCCAACGCACTTATCCTGCAACCCCTGCTCTCAAAGAGACCGCCACGCACACGCACACGCACACGCACACGTGTCGCGCGCACAGCCATCCATCGATCGACGATCAGCGTCCATCTTCATCCATCGATCGCCGATCAGCGTCCACTGATGACAAACCTCCGCACCTGCTCGAGCCACCTCGTGTATTCCCTCTGCTGTTTGTCCCGAAGGCTTACGACGATAAACCGCGCGAGATTCGCATTAATCCCTCTGACATTCAAGAACTCGTCGAAGCCATCTTTCATATCCTTGTCCAGCACACTGTACTCCGGGCCGACATAGCCAATCCCTCTGACTTCGCTGTCATCGGCAACCTCGAGGCAGACATGATCGACGTTCACAAGCATTGCGTCGCCGCCATCACCAGCATCAACGATAGAGCATTGCAATTCGAGCATGGGACCAATCAAACCCTTAACGACGGTCACAGTAAACGCGACAGGAGAGGGAGGAAAGGGTTTGTCTTCATCAATGACCCCATCCAGTTCATCTTCTACCTTCTTCCAAATTGATGGAGGCTCCTTGTAATCATCCGGCTGCAAGCAATAGGCAACGGCGATGTCCTCTTTCCCGCCAAAAGATCGATAGAGAAGGATAGCTCCTGTTCCAGGCTTGTCTCGAATCTCAAAAGGACGAGGAGGCCCTCTAGTCACCAACCTAGGGGTCCTATAGCTCTTCGCCTGATACTCCAACTCATCACGAAGAGCTTCAGCCACTCGCATGTCCACTGATGTCAGTGCTATTGAAGCAGCAGCAGCAGCAGCAGCAGAAGAAGAAGAAGAAGAAGAAGAAGAAGAAGAAGAAGAAGAAGAAAAGGGAGGACGTGCTTTTGAAGAAGAAGGAGGAGGAGGAAGAGGAGGAGGAGGAGGAGGACGTGCTTTTGAAGAAGGAGGAGGAGGAGGACGTAGTTTTGAAGAAGAAGGAGGACGTGCTTTTGAAGAAGGAGGAGGACGAGCTTTTGAAGAAGAAGAAGAAGAAGAAGAAGAAGAAGAAGAAGAAGAAAAAGAGAGAGGAGGATTAGGGGAGGAAAAGAGGGAGGAGATCGATCGATGGAAAAGCCAAGGCGGCGTACTGATGGACTCGCGATGATGATTACGATGATACCCAACCATATTGGTAGCTAGGAACGGAGAAGAAAAAGACAAAGAGGAGGGGAAGGAAGAGGAGGAGAAGGAGGAGGAGAGGAAGGAAGAGGAGGAGGAGGAGGAGGACGTCCATTTCTGATCTTGGGAAATTATCCCATCCTCATGATGCTGACATTTGAGGTAACCCGCCATATCCACAGGCATGACTACGCTACTACTAGCCAAAGAAGAAGAAGAAGAAGAAGAAGCAAAAGGGGGAAGAGAATAAGAAGAAGAAATCCATCGCTGAGAGCGGTGAGGTCCACTTACCATGCGCTGACGATGGCTATCATCACGAATATGATGATGATGATGACTGTGACGATGATGATGATGATGATGATGATGATGATGATGATGATGATAGGGTAGCTTGGCGGCAGAAGAGGCCGAATGCGTTTGTCCGCAGGAGACTGGTGAATGAGAGGATGAGGTCGATGCTGACGTGTCATTGGAGGGGAGTCGAGCAGGTGTCCACAGGAAAGACGCGCGTATGCAGCAGGATGAGGAGGAGAAGGAGGAGGAGGAGAAAATCAAGGAACGAGAAGAAGACTGATCAGAGAGAGTAGACCGTAATGCGGAGCAGAAAATCGACGTTCCAAATTCATGACGGACAATTCTTTTCGCCGATCCCCATCCCGACTTAAGCAGTAAATGTCCCTTCATCTCCGCCGACCAATTGATTTATCAATTGATTGAATTGATTAACCAATTGATCGATCGATCCACTTGTTTGTTCTAGCTCGGTATCTTTTGTCGATCAATTATTAATATAGCCAATCGATTGACAGAATGATTGACGCATCGATCCACTCGTTGATTGACTGATTCATGGACTGATTGATTGATTAATCAATTGGTGATTCATTCATTCATTCCTTTATCAATTCATTGATTTGCCGGGTAGCTACGTTGGTATGGGAGAACCGCTGAAAGCGTATATTCCTTTATCAATTGATTGGTTGATCCAATTGATTGATTGATTGAGTGATTGGTTGATCAAATTGATTGTTGATTGATTGATTGATTGATTATTGGTCTGTAGCTGTGACATTGATTGACAGAATAACTAGTGATTGACAGAATAACTAGTGCATTGATCGTAGCTGTGACGTTGATTGACAGAATAACTAGTGCATTGATCGATTTACTGATTGATCGATTGATTTGATCGTAGCTGTGACATTGATTGACAGAATAACTAGTGCATTGATCGATTTACTGATTGATCGATTGATTGATTGATCGATTAGTTTGTACGCGAGATTGATTGAAAAATTGATTACTGCGCTGATCGATTCATAGCTTGACTGATTGGTCTGACTGATCGCCTAAAGTGGCACGGACGGATTAACGGGAGGGGAAGAAAAAAAGAAAAAGAAAAAGAAAAAGAAAAAAAAAAACACGATCGGAGACTGCTCTCTCCATCTTCGATCGATGATTGGTCGATGGTCATTTGATCCAAACACGTGATCGATATCGGCCAATTTGATTGTAAAATCGTTTTGTTTTGTTTTTTTACGGAAAACTGAAGAATCGATTCTATCGATCTCGGCCAATTTGATATATATATGGTTCACTCTCCCGATGAAACGGTGAAACTCTGACGAAACAGTTTCTCACAGCCCCTCGTTTGCTGTCCTTTCTCCCTCCCTCTCTGCCTACGGTTTACCGGGCAGCTCTGTTTGACGATATATACATGGATTCATTATCCCTTCAGAAGTAAGGATCGTGAGAGCACCAAGAAAAAAGAATCGAGGGAGGAAGGGAGGGAGGAAGGGAGGAGGAAGGGAGGGAGGAAGGGAGGAGAAACGGAGGGAGGGATGGAGGGATAGAGGGTGAGGGAGGGAGGGAATCAGAGCTCTAGGGCCGCTGGGAGGGAGGGAGGGAATCAGAGCTCTAGGGCCGCTGGGAGGGAGGGAGGGAGGGATGAAGGGAGGGCAGGAGGGAATCAGAGCTCTAGGGCGGCCGCACTCGCATTGGGGGGGGGGGATCGGCGGGGAGGTGGAATGACAAAGAGACGAAGAGAGAGGCCAACCCCCACCCCGTGTTGCTGTTGATAAATGGACCTATGTTCGAATCCTGACGGACTGCGACCTCAAGTACTGCTATGTAGGATTAGGGCCTACTCACACCAGGACTCTTCGGACTTGCGTCAGATGCATCCACCGCCGGCCGTAATTGCGGTCAGATGCACTTAGGAAAGTGCCAGTGTGAGTATGCTCTCAGATATGCTAAATGAACTCTTGATAGGCCTGCGGGTCAGTTGGTTCAGGACGTCGTGGGCTCAATCCCTTTTGGCCTCACGTATGTGCCTGGGCAAGCTTGGTGTTCTACCAGCTAGAGATAACCCATTGGCTCCCTAAGCCAGCATTGGCAGGACCTTGGCTAATGTTGTTGGCTGCTATGCAGCAACAATATTGGCCATTAGACACCACTATGTGGGGTTGGAGAGGGGGGGGGGTAGGGGGAGGTGCAGTGACTGGCCATTGCTCAGCGCGAGCATGCCGATTTCCCCCCTCGGCAATGCCTGCCCACCCCTTGTCACCTTGATGAGGGACTGGTACAGCCTTGCTCTCGTACCACAGCTGTGGTGCAAACCTACCCCGTGCGCTGGGGAGAGATCCGGGTTGGTTGGTGTTCCCCCGTACTATACATAGACTAGTGAGAGGATGAGATAGATGCGCACTTTTTTTTTTCTTTTTTTTTTTTTGGGAAAAAGAGAGGAATCCATTATCATGAAACAATCCATGAGGTCGGGAATCCTCACAAACAACCCGGAATGAAACCACTGTAACACTTTACTGGGACCATTACCCAGTATTGGTATGTGGGCCTTACCCCAACAACACTTGGTTGAGCCAACCAAATAAAATTTGGTAGCCTTTCCGCTGAGCCAGATGCAAACATAAGCAAAGTTCAGAACATAACCAAAATTCAAGAGACACTCTGTCCTATTCTCACTGTAACGCCCCCTCAAACCCGGCCTAAAGTCGGCCGGGTGGACCTTTGGTCCTCCTTTTTTTTTTTCTTTTTTTTTTTTGGGACAAAAGGTCCAATCTATTTGTGGGGAGCAACACGTGCCGGGAACCGGGCCCAGCGTCCCATATAGAATTTATACAGTTGATTTGAAATGCCGGCTAAGAAACATCTAGGAACTTATGAAAAATTCAGGAAAATTTCAGGAAGATTTTGGAAAACGTGAATACTACTGACCTATTACTAAGAAAAACAAGAAGCCCGAAAGTCCTTCTAATGCTCAGAATTCCCTGGAAACCCCAACAAAACACTCTAAAATTCTCTAGCACTGTCTAATTCCCTGCCGGGCTCTCCCAGGCCTCATGCCCCCACCCTGCTAGGTTACAGGGCAACACAACTCACCCCAGCTCCGGCCAGCATTGTCCCGACAGCAACCCTTGGTTTTCCTTTGGAATGCCCAGCCCAAGGCATCCCCAGATCTCTATACCAGGCCTCACGCTCCTGCTATCACAGGTTACAGCTCCGGCCAGCGTCGTTCTGGCATTGAAAAAAACGCAGGTCCGTACTAGTACCAAGCAAGCGCCACTGGGAGCGCTGCGCCCCGGTCGCTCCGCAAGCAGGTTCTGCTGCCTGCGATCTCATGCTGCCATCAGCACTGGATCGATGCAGGAGCACTCGTGCCACCTGGCACGACGAATGCACTGACGCATTGGTAGAGTGTGACGTGGCGCTCCCGGAGCCAATCGTGGCGACGCGATAGGAGGAGGATAAAGGAGTATTGGATATCACATTCTAAGTGTTGTGCGCTGGAATTGCTACGACAGGCTCGTGGGGTCGAAGGCGCTCCCGCTCATGAGCGGGATCTTCATGGCAGCGTTCAGGACGTTAGCTGGGACGACATACGGAAGGCGATTGTAGGGAAGAGATGTGCGGGCAATGTGACATTGTGAGGTGTTGCGTCATTATCATCATCATCAGCAGCAGCAGCAGGAGCCAGTAGTGGCAGCAGCAGTATCAAGGGTAATCATCAGCTGCCGTCATCACCATCATCATTGTCATCATCACCATCTTCGGTTTTATCATCGCTGTCATCATCATCATCATCGTCATCGGGAGTTATCATCATCACCATTATCATCACCATCATCATCATCTTCATCATTATCATCATCATCATCATCGTCATCATCATCATCATCAATATGGAGGCTGGCGTGCTTTTCAACCAGAGCTTCCTTTGGGCCCAGCGGAGTGGTATGGCTATCATGCGTCATCATCATCATCATCATCAGCAGCAGCAGCAGTAGCAGCATTACTGACATCACCATCATCATTATGAGCATCTTCATTGGTGCGTCATCATCATCTTCATCATCATCATCATCATCATCATCATCATCATCATCATCTTCATCATCATCAGCAGCATTGTTGACATCATCATCATCATCATCATTATGAGCATCATCATCATCATCATTACTGACATCATCAACATCATTGCCATCATTATGATGATGATTATTATCATCATTATTAGTTTGTTATCATTAGAGTTTGCTCTTCAAGGCATCGTTCGCCTTTCGCATCAGCAGGTGAGTGGGTCGTCATCATCATCCTCATTATCATTATCTTCAGGGTGCTGTCCTTCGTCATCAACAAAATCCAAGCGAATGACATTTTGGTGAGGGGGAGGGGGAGAGCCCAGCCCCACTGGTGTTTCATTAGGCGGGTGGTGAAACCCTGGAGTGGGTTCGGGCAGATTGTGAGGAATACTCTTTTTTGGGGCTGGGCATCAAATCCCAACGGGGGCAGATTAGGGTAAAGGGATAGATAGGGGAATGGAGAGAATGGAGGAAGGAAGGGAGAGGGGGGATTTTTTCTGAATCATCTCATCATCATCATCATCATCATCATCATCCATGTTATATCATGCTTTCTGGTGTGCTGTAATTCTCGGCTGTATCTGGCCTCCTTCCTCTGGATCGATATCTACAGAGTTGCTTTGTCTTTGCCCCTGGTTTGGCGATGCCAGAACGACGCTGGCCGGAGCTGGGCGTTGCCCTGTAACCTGCAATTGGCAGGAGTGTGAGGCCTTGTAGAGAGATCTGGGGATTTGCCGAGGGAGGAAGGCAATCCAGTGGCGAACCGGGGGGGCTGCCTTGACAACCTATGGGGCCAGGGATAGTCTAGGTGGCGAGGACAGGTCAGCTATGGTAGACAAGGGTTAGGAGGGTATTGTCTCTGAGATGTAATGTCCTGGTGCAGGGAGGGTTGGGAGGTTTCGAAGATTAGGAGGCCAGAAGTGTAGTTATAACATAGTCTTCTATATTTTCTATGTACTAATCATCATATTCATCATCATCATCATCATTAGTATCATCATCTGATTATTGTTATATTAAGCTTTTTGGTGTTCTGAAATTTTGGCAGCATCTAGCATTCTTCCACATTCCGGATATAGGACTTCAGAGATGGTTGAACCTGGACTGATATCTACTGAGTTGCTCTGTTCTGTGCCCTTGGTTTGCCGATGCTAGAACGACGCAGGCCGGAGTTGGGGCGTTGCCCTGTAACCTGTAAATGGCAGGAGTGTGAGACCTTGTACAGAGATCTGGGGTTTGCTGAGGGTGGAAGGCATTCCAGTGGTGAACCGGGGGGGGCTGCAAGGAGGCGAGAAGAGATCAGCTATGGTTGATGTTGGTTAGGTTGGTTTTGTCTCTGAGGTACACTGTCCTGGTTCAAGGAGGGCTAGGAGTTGTACTAGGATTAGGAGGCCAGAATAGCTGATATAGCATAATCTTCTATATTTTTTCATATATTTGAATCACCATTCTCATTAGCATCATTATCTATGGTATCATCAGTATCATCATGGTCATCATCATAACCATTTGAGGGACGCTGAGCCCGGTTCTCAGCAGTTTTGGTTCGATCACTCCGGGCAACTGTGAGGACCCCGGCCTTAATCTTATTATTGGTAATATCAGCCTTGGGCACCGGGCCCGGTTTAAAATAAAATAAAATAATAATAATAATAATAATAATAAAAATAGAGAAGAATATAGCTTACCTTTAGAATATATATATATATATCTATTTGACGATATATATATATATATATATATATATATATATATATATATATATATCATCAAATAGAACTGCCCGGTAAACCGTAGGCAGAGAGGGAGAAGAGGACAACAAATATATATATATATATATATATATATATATATATATAAAATGAACTCTTGATGGGCTGGCCAACGGGCCTAGCTCAGGCGTACTCACACTAGAAGTATCTCAAATGTATCTGACCACACTCGTGCCATACCTGGATGTATCTGGCCACAGCTCCGTCCAAAAATACGTAAAGAAGTCATAGTGTGAGGACGCTCTTAGTTGCTAAGGGGCTCATTCGACACTCCTCGGGAGCGTAAATCCCCCGAGGAAATCATCGTTCCACTTATCCTCGGGGAAGAAATTGAAAAAAAAAGTGAAAACATTTCCTTGGGGATTCCTCGCCTTAGAGCCATTTCGACGCGTTCCCCAAGGGACCTCCCGAGGTTCCTTGGAGGTTGAGCATCCGGGAGAATCGGGGCGTTGACGGCAGCTCTGTCGACGACAATTTTCGACGCGGCTGGTCCATTGCTGTTCCTGGCGGCCCGTGGACAGACATCTTCGGTCGACAACGGTCGGCGTCATGGAATTGTCCGCCAATGGTCCCCTTTGGCGGCCTGCCGGCCTCCGCGACGTCGAAAAGGGGCTGCCTTTCGTCGTTGCCCTTGTCCCCAAGTGGGAAGGCGCCCAACGGTCGGCAGATTCGAATACTTCAGCCGGCCCCCCCTGTCCCCATTGCACAGTGTCGTCCGCGACGGAATACGTTACCCTGCTTTTGTCGATAGTTACGATCGGCCGTTTGCACCACTGTCCCTCGCCGTTTCCTGGACGTCCACCGCTGTCTTCTAGCTGTTGCCGTCGTCCACGTGCCTTTCATAGCCGACGTCTTTTGGAGGCTGTCGCTGCTGGTGCCGACCTTCCTCTTGCTCCTCCTCTTAGTTGTCTTCCACGTGTGCATCCTCGGCAACATTCTGCGACGTGCCCGCAGAAGACGGTCTTTGAAGAAGGACATCAGGATGCACTGAGGGTTGGCATCGGGGATGCTTGTGGGATTGATTGGCGGGGCAGGCGGAGAAGCGACGATTGGCACCAGGGCCGCCTGTGTGATTGATCGGTGCCCTGCCACGTTTTCGACTGATTAATTAGGTAATCTGTGTAAACTGTGGCCCCCCACTTGAGTGGATTCGTCGATTATGAGGATCGTGGAGGGGATGCGATGCAAGTAACCTTACATAATAGAGTGCAATGGTGGAACCGGGCTTCCGTACAAGGTTTTGCTATAATTGATTTTCTAAAGCCCCCTATTATGAATGCCCCTCCTCCCCGGGTGCTGTAAGAGCGATGCTGTAGGTGATGACGGATTCAGACTAGGGATAAGATGTTAGACTGCGATGGTCAGTTAATCCCCTCGGTTGAGGGCAATCAATGCTGCTCATCGAATTAATGATATGTGCCTGCGTGTCGATTCAGGTGATCACTCACGTTTATAGTAGGATGGACACGTGGCACGGTTACATAACCCTTGTTTACAAACTGCCCCTTTTTGAAATGTTGAGGGACGCTGGGCCCGCTTTCCAGCAGGTGCTGCTCCCCACCAATAGATGGAGCCTCCCTGAGAATGCTAGTGGTATCTGCTCTTATCCGAGTCAACACCTCTAGCACTCACTCGTTTTTTTTTTTTTTTTTTTTTTTTTTTTTTTTTTTTTTTGAAAAAAACGGATGGAGAGGCGCCAGGCGATCAGCAGGTCTGCAGGGGAGCAGGGTGGTGGCCAGCGGGCTGGGCAGAGCCCGTCGAGGAGTTCAAGGTCGTCGGAGCGGTCTGGGTACTCGCACCTGCCACCGCACTTGCAACCTCTGTCGAGTGGCGGATGACAGACGGTCACGGACCGTGCCGCTGGGAAGTGGGTCCACCCAGAAGTGGGCGGCTACAGAGCTGTGTGGAAGCCATGACGACGGTTATGGCCAATCCTACACCAAACTCCTCCAGCAGGGGTTCAGCGGCGACGAAGGCGATGGCGGCGTGAATCTGTCGTTCGGGCTGTGTAGCGGGAGGTCATCGGCCGCCTCACGAACGACCATCGTCACCCCCCATTCCGACGACGACGGCGGGCAAGTGACGACTGTTGTGCGATCATCGAAGTCTCCAGTGCCGGTCTTGGAGGCGTTGGGGAATAACAGGGATCCTCTGAGGCAACAATTCCGGTCGCCGTTTGTGTCGAGGGGTGCCTCCGCTCACCCCCAGTGGATGCAATCTCCGTCTTTCCTGCCCGCCGGTTCGAGTGCAACCCGCCGTCGTGGCGAATGCGGGGAGACGGATTGTGGCATCACCGATCTTGGTGATGCACGAGACGGGAGGGAGGTGTGGGCAAAACACCGACGGGGGTTGTGGTCGGGGCGGGAGGAATCCATAACTTGGGGTTGCAGCGACTGTGTGGGGGGAGCAGGAAAACGACAGCGACGCACCAGACTGGGCCGTCAATTTGAGGTTCGGCGGTTAGCATCCCAAGGGACATGGAAAGAGAGCGGTCCTGAATGTATCATCTACGTCCATGTAACCACCTCACGGAGTATATCTTGCGTGGTGGACGCGGGCGATCAGGAGTGGAACGACAACGAGGACGAAGGTGCGCCTGCGAAGACGACAACGATGACGACCGTGTGACGGCGTGCCTGCTGCTTTGGACGTGTACGTGTACGTTCGGCGCGCCCGCCGACACGCAGCCGCCACCTCGTACCCAAACGCTTCCGCCGAGGGACGTTGCTGCCACCAGCCGCAAGGGACGCCCACGCCGCCGTCACTCGCTTGCGGAAATTCGAATTTTGAATTTCGAATCCGGGACTGTGCGCCTTTTTCGTGGCCATTTTTTTTTTTCGCCACCAACTTTTGAATTCGCAACGCCCACCTGAGCTGGACCAACGACATCGGCACGGATACACCTTGCTGGACCAACCTCCCCCCCCACGTCCGCTTGTCGATATATGAAACTGGCCGCAGAAAGCCCCGAGGAATCGTCCTCGGGGAACAATTCCGAGGATGAGTGGAACGACGTCGCGAATTTCCTCGGGCAACGATGGGAGAATTTCCTCGGGCCCCTAGGACTGCCCGAGGAGTGTCGAACGAGCCCCTATTAAGGCACACAAGTTGCATGCCGGAGGATGTGGGTTCAGACCCCATGCCTTCACCTACCTGCCTGCACATGCTTGGTGTGGCCTCCGAGGCCAGAATTAGGAGGACCTTGGCCAATGTTGTTGGGTGCTATGCAATAATGATATTGGCTATTAGACAGACATGGCCTGATGTAGGTTGTTGGGGGGAGGAAAAGGGGGAAGTGAAGCAACAGGCCATCCTGCTCTAATAGAAGGTCATTATGTCTGCATTTGGCCCATTGGTTAGGCCAGATGCAGCGAAAATGACAGTACGTTCTGTTTCGGTGAAGACGGGAAGTACTGCCCATTTCCACTAGCAAGGGCTGGCCCTTTATTCCCCACATGAATGTGATAAAGGGCCAGCCCATCCCCACATGAATGTGACGAGGGGCCAGCACAACTTTGATCTCGCATCAACACTATGGTGCAAAACTACCCCATGGGCTTGGGGGGAGGTAGCGGTTACGACCATCTTCCCCCGAACACAACGCACCCTCATTATGGATGTACCGGACCGGAGAGATCGCTTGCATACATTCATTATCAGGGCGCGTTATGTTCGAGGGAAGACGGTAGGTGTTCCGGACACTCGACGCGTACATAGAGTAGGAAGAGCGATAACTTGATGGCAAATAAAAAAGCCAAGCGAAGTGATTGAGAGAAGATGATAGAGGTCGGGGGAGCGGATGGTGGCCGTGAACCTACTGAGGACGGAAACTGGAGTTACTCTAGGGGATGCTAATAGAATGCCTAGACATCCAGTTGATGATAGAGGTATGGGGAGCGGATGGTGGCCGGAAGCCTACTGAGGACGGAAACAGGAGATGCTCTAGGTTCGAATAACCTCCGCAAGAATTCAAAGAATAACTAGAGAGATCTGATGATGATAAGGCTAGCCTAAGGATCTCTCTGAAAAAATCAGGAAAAACTAGGGTTCGCCTATGGGACTTGTAGTGGCGTGCTTACCCCTAGCGCTCAAAGTGCCCGGTACGGCGGCAAAGAGATAGCGTCCGCCATCTCCAGCGAAACCTTCATTCCGGACTCAGGCGTCGTCCTTGCACAACACGTGTAGCTCCCCGTAGCGCGGTTTCGTCGCCGCGGCTTCTGGCCTCCACGGAATGAGTCGCTCGTTGGCGGGACACTTGTTGGGTGGCAGGAGGCGCGTCAATCCATCGACGTTGCCATGCTGCCGCGTGGCACGGTGGCGGATGTCGAAGTCATAGTCCTGCAGACGTACCGCCCACCTTCCCAGCGTCCCCGTGTAGTCCGTGTTGTTGCGTAGGGACAACAGCGACTGATGATCCGTTACCAGCACGAATTTATGGCCGTAAAGATACGGTCGGAAATGCTGAATCCCCCACACCACCGCGAGGCATTCGCCTTTGCACGCTTCGTAATTAGCCTGCGCCTGGCTCAGCGTCTTGGACGCATACTCAATGGCGTGTTCCCTTCCGTCCGCCCCGTGCTGAGTCAGCACCGCCGATATCGCCTGCAGCTGCCAGTCGGTGTATAGTGCGAACGGTCTTGTCGGGTCGGGACGCACCAACACAGGAACAGATGTCAGAGCCTCCTTCAATGCCTGAAATGTCGCTTCGCATTCCGACGTCCAGATCAGCTGCTCCTCTTTCTTCAGCAGGTTCGTTAGGGGCTTCGCTACACCGACGAACCCCTTGATGAAGCGTCGGTAATAGGATGCCAGCCCTAGAAAAGCCCGAACCTGGGTGAGTGTGACCGACGCCGGGGCTTCTTGAACTGCTGCCACCTTCCTCGGATCCGGTTTTAGTCCATCGACCGTGACGATGTACCCCAAGAATGAGATCTCCGACAAGAAGAACTCGCTTTTCCCCAAGGCCACTTTGAACCCCGCATCTTTTAGTGCATGCAAAACCTACTCAATGTGTTCCACGTGGTACTCGTGTGTTTTTGAAAAGACCAAAATATCATCCATGTACACAATCACGCAGAAATTGATCAGGTGCTGGGTTAGTCGGGTTTTGTTAACGAACTCAGCGAAGGCCATATTCATGGCCTGCTGAAACGTTGCAGGGGCGTTACAAATTCCCATGGGACACCGGACCCATTGCCACGTGCCCTCAAATAGGACAAAAGTGGTTTTGGGTCGGTCTTC